TGCCCTGGGTCATCATTTTATAAATCTTGGTAATTAACCACAAGAATCTCAGGTTCTACTAATCCTCCCCTTTTGGGGACAATATTCTGTAAGTTTGACATAAATTACGCCAAAAACCGATTGAAAACTTATGTCAATAAAACTGATGAGTGTTTTGTTTTGATTACAGTATTTAATGTTAAACACTATTAACACTACATTTAACTTTCAATTTAGTCATTAAATTAAGCAAAAAAGTTGTACTTTTGTCACAACATCTCATCGCAAGACCTATCGATAGGGCGAAGACATCACCGTTTGATGAGATATAGGGCGTCAAAAGTCTTGAGCACTTGAATCGGGCGATCGATTGGCCACAAAATGCACAGAATTTGGTAAGTCTTGTGATTACGAAACTATGGATCAAATGTAACCAATTGTTATTCCTGTCCACTCCATACCCGACGTGTCGACCATCTGTGCCACAGTATGGCCTCCGACTTCTTCTACCCGAACACAGGGGGCGTCGAGAGTCATATCTACCAGTTGTCGCAGTGTCTGATCCAATTGGGCCACAAAGTGATTATCATTAGCCACGCCTACGACGACCGGACGGGTGTGCGGTATATGACAAACGGTCTGAAAGTGTATTATCTGCCGGTTTGGGTGGTTTACAATCAGTGCACACTTCCCACACTCTTCACCACATTTCCATTGGTCAGGTATATACTGATCCGCGAACGGGTGGACATAGTTCACGGCCACTCAGCCTTCAGCGCATTGGCCCACGAAGTGATGTTTCACGCGAAGACACTGCACCTGAAGACAGTGTTTACCGATCACTCGCTGTTTGGTTTTGCCGACTCGAGCGCTATCATCACCAATAAGTTGTTGCAAATACTGCTGGCCATCTGTAATCGGGTCATCTGTGTCTCGCACACCGGGTATGGTATTGGCCTTCACAGACCTCCCAATCCCTCAGTCACTCCCAATCTCTCCCCACATCTAAACACGTTATTTGCATTTGAATAGTAAAGAGAACACAGCGTTGAGGGCAGGGGTGGAGCCGAACCGCATATCTGTGATCCCTAACGCCGTCGACACCGATATATTCATGCCGTCCACCGATAAGAAGCACTCCAATCATCCCAACACCAGTCAGTATTATTATTATCCATTAAGCGCTCAATTAGTTTGCATTTAATTTATCCGTATTTAAAGCCTAATTCAGATCCAAGCGTAGAGTTTATCCAAACTTGAATCCAAAGGCATTTACAGCAAATTGTTTCGACACTTTGTTGTTATTGTTAGTACTGTATGTGTACTTATCTGACTCTACGTTTGCAGTAAACTTACGTTGAATGCAAACTTGTCGAGTGCTTTAAGAATAGATAAAAACTATTCTCGAGAGTGCATTTGTTTGCCAAATGATTTTCTCAATGAAATAAAATGCAAATAAATGTGTCAATGATTGAGTGATTAACTGGTTTAACACTAATTAAAGCATTTAATGAATTTATATATTTGATTGACAACAGCGACAATAGTAGTGGTGAGTCGACTCGTGTATCGGAAAGGCGTGGATCTGTTGGCGGGAGTGATACCCATAATTTGCCACAAATACAGTGATATACGGTTTCTGATTGGCGGCGACGGACCCAAACGTATAGTGATTGAAGAGGTTGTGGAACGGCATCAGCTCCAGGACAGAGTCACTCTATTGGGTC